TTCACTATGTACGATTTTGTAAATTTGAATCCACAAATATGATGTAATTGTTGAAAATACACCCATCCGGGTGCATAAAGCTACTACTGACTTGATTTGACTTGTGTACTTTTTATGGAAGGAAGGCTACTCAGTGGGTACCAATAAAGTGATAATAAAGGTGAAGGTCAGTTAATCGTACAAAAGAGTTTGGGAAAAAATTGATAGACGAATAGGCGCAAACCCGGAAACATTCATTTGCACGCAACTCGTAGTTCCTAAGTCAGGGGACCGATCGAGATGGTGCGAAGTGAAGGGTGGTAGAGAAACAGAAATCTAATATCCCTGTATCAGTGGAGTCGTCCTCGCATGGTGACCAGAGGAGTAACTTGTTCCTAGTTTGAAGAGATCCGCGGCTAGATTTGGAAGTGGATATGTGCCAATGATGGAAAACAATACACCTCAAGCACACACAACAACAGTTATGGTTCAACCATTCGACAGATTTTAGTCTGGCAGGCTTGATACGGCGAAAAGTGAGAGATGTGCACTTCTTTAAATCAGTTTTTGTGAAATTAGGTCATGTTAAAAATCTGAAGTAAAGCCTCTGTTGTTTCAAGGACAACGAGTGAGACTGTCACGGAAACTATACCAATCGGCAAAGTTTTAACGCCAAAATATGCGCCTGGTTGTTGGATTTGGAATGCGGCTTGTGGGAATAATGGAACAAAGCAGTGATCTAATGGGTCCAGTGTAGGAGAGGCGGAATGGCTTTTGTCGCAAGCTAGAAAGTTTGAGCACAACTACTAGTACTATGGAGGCTATACGTTGTAAGTGAGCCGATTGTTGTTGTTAAGTACAGAAACTGATTACGCTACGTGTCCGACTGCAATTGATTCAACCGAGCGTGTGAACCGATCTCTTTTTGAACTTTGAGATCTCTGATAGTGAATTACAGGCTGTCAGGATCATCTCTTGTCAGGTTTTCATTGCTTGAAAACAAGAAATAGAAGAATAAGAAACCGCCATTGTTTCGCGGACAAAAGGCCAAACCACGATAGTGGCTAAGATGTGGGAGCCAGAGCCGCTTAAGCTGACTGCCCGGCGCAAAACGTCAAATCGAACAAAACGGGTGGTTGTGAGTGTCGGCACAGATGCAAGCTCTAAACTAAAAGGACCGGTCTATGTGATAGTTTGCAAATTCTTGAATGTGTGTTGTCTGAAGGAAGGGATCTGCGAAGATGAAAAGGCAAGTGGAGGGTTGGTTTAACTGGCACAGAACCAGTGCTACAGTTGATACGTGAAATCCTTGCCCCGTGGTCAATGTGGTACGCGTAATCGATGTTTTTCTGGGTTTTACTATGCATTGTTTTGTTTTTTTGTTGAGAAAATGACCAGCAGTTGATTAAAGGAAGGGGTTTTTAGCTAAACGGGTAGGTGGTTTTCTTGCCCCCGGAGACTGTGCATCACCTATATTTTCCACTTGAGTTAAATCGGATAAATAATTTTTTTTAAATAGTTCGTTTCGTATATACCAGAGGATAGGAAGAACAAGAACATTAGTTGTTGTTTGTTTCTCCTCGCATATTTTGTTGCATTTTATCTGTCTTTATTTTGTTGAGGTTAAGAATTTAAATGGATTGACGACCCAACATTCATACCACTGATTTCCCTTTTGAACCACGTTTAATATTATCTAAGTAACGGGAATCTTCATCCCTTGAGCCGCAACCTTGAAAGTGGGCTGCACCACCAACCGAAGCTAAGGCGGAAGTAAATTTTCGCATATTCCTACGCTATATCATGGGCTGACCGCCGCATCGCTTATCTGAGCACAGAGAGCAGACAAGAGGGAGATAGACCCAAAACGTCACCCAACCATCGAAAAGTGGCAATCAGCAGCCAACACACGACGACCATCTTCGTCATTGTTCACTCGATGCTCCTACCAGGCTCAAGCAATGTGTCAAAGACATCTGTAGTTGAATGCTGGAAATCGCTTAGTATCCCCAGTGCGAAGTCTCCAGTTCTCTCAATACTACAAACCGCGGAGATGTCCCTAATGGGAAATCGGATATCACGTTGACGCCCTAGGTGATGCAGGTTGGAAAATGCTACTCTAATTTTTTCGTTCTTCATGATCTGTTTCTCAAACCCTCTTCCAAGTGCATTCAAGCTCTCGAGGTACCCAAAGATTTGGACCGTACCTAGCTTATGGGTACAAGCATAGGCTCCCCCAGCGTTTCACGAGCAATTTGCATTTCGATCGTGCAAAGCATATGCCATACCTGGTTGTCTCGATCGACAACATGGACAGCATGTTGGACTAACCGTGTATTATCCTACCATCAAGTCGATTTCATCGGCTTCACCGTTTGCTCGACCGAATAAATCGTTGTATAGGACAGTGCCTTCTACTTTTCAGTTAAGGACAAATTTTACCAGCATGACCGAATCAAATTTTCCACTACTCTCTTGTTAATCACATTTGTTATGCAAATTAGTTAGCTCTCAACTGTTCGTATTTTCTTTTAACCGAATTTCATTCCCTTGTTTAGTTTTCGATCATGTTTATGCATATCTTTTCTTTTCGGATTGTGTTTGATCCGGACAATGTGTAACGTAACTAGAGATTGTCGAGTAGATTGGTGACTGGTTTTTATGGTTTTTTTCCAACTCGCTTCTTTCTCGCGCTACTACTCGTGGTGGCAGGATGCAAACGCGACCACAGAGGAGGAGAAATCTGCGATCAGACGATCAAGTTCCCCCGGGGACTCTGGCTCTGGGCAATCGTCCATGCCACGCTATCTGATCCAGGCGCACTTGTTTGCCGATCTCCTAATCAAATGTGTTGTTCAGTACGAATTAATCCAGACTGTAGATCATATTCTGTTCTATTCATCGCATAGTCGTAACGAAGATGCACACTACATCAATGCGGCGCGCTCTTTAGCTGCGGCATCATATCCTGCTTACGCAGTGGCTTTGGTCACTGCAACAACGGCGTCCGCATCCACCACTCCTGTCGATCAAACTCCACCAGTGGGTAAGTTGGTATTTTCTTATCATTATCCAATGAGTGCTAATTATCAGTCAACGATAAGGTATTTTTCGCTCTGTTCACTGTGATGCAATCCGTACTGTGACAGTTCCGGATCGACTGATGTTAGTGATATTTCGCTCTCTGTGCTTTTCAGTTACTGTACATCAGCTCTAAATTAAAGATTTTAATCGGGGGAATGAACTGCAGCATGGATATCTTCATGCTTGCATTATTCTCAGGAGTTTTGCATGCGCTCTCTTTTGATCAGCGGCAGAAAATTCGGCAGACTTCTTTCCTACCTCAGTATAGTGTTCCAAACAATGGACGGAGTTACAAGTGTGCACTGCTCAGTTCCAGGAACCTAAGCCTCTCTGTTTAGAGTTATATACCACGTAGATCCTCATAGAATAACTGCGTAAACGGAATGTCTAATTCAAGTGAGTGCGAAAAGCGACCAGTCTTGAGGCACCATGCAAACCGAATTGGACAATTTGTAACCCTTTTAAGCAGAAAAAATGGAAGCACAAACATATGAAAAGACATGGTATTGAATCAGACAACAGCGAAGCTGCTTACCTCCGACGTTCAGTGTCGGTCGTAGGGTTCGTATTCTGTACAATATAGACTGCTGCACGTTAGTGACCATAAATGGAACTAACATTTACCTGGCATTCACAATGTATATGCTGAACTGGATTTCCTTCTTGGTTTATTCTGTCTGGGTATCTTCTCATATGATATTCCGCTAGTGAGTGGTTAGCCTTCATGCCTACTCTCCAACTCAGGAGGACGGGTTTTAGCGTGATTGATGCCGCAAGAGTTAAAGAGTATATTTTAACTGCGGTTGTATTTCCATTCTTACAGTATTTATGCGGATTCTTACTATGAAACTCTTATTTTGTATACCAAAATCCAACAAAGAACTCTTGCGTCTTATGCAGAATGGCACTAATGGTTGAGTATGAAGTGAGTAACATCACTTCTGTTCATTTTCTCGTTCCCAGATCCTAATCCGTATTCGTAATCATCCTAATATTCACCGCGCGAAAGTTCAGTAACCAAGCAAAGTCGATGAAATACCAATTCAGTGGTTTTATTTCCCTCGGTTAAAGCTCATAATTGATTTGCTTGTAAACTGTTTAGTCACTCTGCAAATATACCCATAAAATCATAGTCAGCTCAGAAAATCCTTGAACGTTTAGTCATCTGTCAGCTATCATTTTGTTCTCGTCCGCTGTGGTGCATTCGACCTATCATTTTTACAACCTATCGAGGCCTTATATGGTTCAGCCACTCCGAGTCCCGGGGCTTAGGTTGCTGGTTACCATCGCTGAACAGCAGGTCCTCGTGACTATGGGGTTCGCCCCGTCTGCTGTTCATCACACTTAGGTGTGTAATAAAAAAAATCATCCTACACTTGCAGTTTTTATATTTGTTTTCCCTTTTGTAACTATACCGGATACTTATCGATTATCGATTTTTGTTTACATATTCCGAAATTCGTATCACAGGTCCATCTGGTTGGAATGACTATTCACCCCAATCAAGTGAGACACGATGGTCTCCCAGCGACCCGGCGGGACAGCAAAATCAGCAGGAGCAAGGTGGTTCTGCTGCACTCAACATGATGGATCGGCCAGAGAAGTCTTACCATGCTGATGAAGACGAAGCTGAGGAAGAAGAACAGTCTTGGTATCTCGGACCCAGTGGATCTCGAGTACCTATGGGCACCAGTCCTTTACCCCCAGACCCTCGAGGCATGTTCAACCGTCTGTCTCCACAGCTGAGGCTCCGACTCGCGCGGTGTTTACTAGAATCGCATGCGTTTGCTAAACGATTCAACTCGAACGATGAGCAACGAAACGTGCTGTTTGAAGCCGGTGAGTCCTCATGTGTTTGTTTGATATCTGTTTCAATATTCCTTTGTCCTGTTGTTTTTACTTTCTCTTGTTTACCGAGGTTGGCAAGTTGTAAATATTTGCAATGAAATATTATTCGATCGAAAAAATGTTCTCAAGTCAAGATACTACGACTCTGATAGGTTAATTTTCAGCGGTTTACGAATTTATTTTGGTAGACAAGTATCAATCTGAGAACCAGACATAAATATTATAATTGTAATGTA